CTGACATCCACTAATATGTTCTCCATTTTTTAAACTATTGTTTAAAAATTTCATATAGATTAAATCTTACAATATGTATTCTTCTGAGATTGGCATTTGCTTTTTTGTTTTTTTGTTTTTGTTTTGCGACAAGTTCTCATTCTATCTCCCAGGCTAGAGTGCAGTGCCATGATCACAGTTCACTGCAGTCTGGACCTCCTGGGCTCAAGTAATCCTCCTGCCTCAGCCTTCCAAGTATCTGGAACCACAGGTGCACATCACCACACTGGCCATTATTTTATATTTTGGTAGAGATAGGGGTCTCCTTATGTTGCCCAGGCTGATCTCAAGCTCCTTGATTCAAGAGATCCTTCTGCCTTGGCCTCCCAAAGTGCTGGAATTAAAGGCCTGAGTCTGCACCTCGCTGAGATTGGCTTTTCTACTTAGTATAATTCCCTGGAGATCCATGCTAATTGTTGTACTTGTCAATAGGTTGGTTTTTTGTTTGTTTGTTCTTAGTAATATTCTATTTGTGTACCATAGATTGTTAAGCTATTCACCCATTGGAGGATATCTGAGTGGTTTCTAGATCATTGCTATTGGTTGTAAAGCTGTTATGAACACTCATGTCTAGGTTTCTGGTCTGATTTTTATTATCATCATATGCTGGAAATTCTGTCATCTACTGGAGTAGACTATTCCCATCTTGTTTCCTGCCTAGTACTTCATGCTCTCTGCCACAATTGCTACTGATACCATTATCAATACTGCTGCTGGTGTTACTGGTATTGAAGCTTGGACAGTCTTCCCTACATTGGAGAGTGGCAGAGAGACAAGAGGGCATCTGCAGCCGCAGCTCTGACAGTGAGAGAATGTGGGCTAATCCTTAACCAGACCCAAGTGTTTCTGCTTCTCTCTTCATCTGTCCCCTTCTCCGCCTGTTAACCAATACGCTCCTTATTTTCCAATCCAAAATTTAGAGGAAACTAGTTTGCTTGGCTTAGCTAATGTACTGACCGGCTTATGGGTTTAAAATCCATCTATGGATAAACCATCACTGGTTCAGGGGCTCATGCTTAATGCAATATGTAGTCACTCCTAAGTAGAGCATCTATTTCCCTAAGCTGAAGGGCAGGATTGTTTGATCTGTGGGCTATGCAATTTCTGCTAACAGAAGGTATTGAATGGGGCATGACTGCAATGTCCAGTATGCATGGAAAATTCGTTAGGAAAATTTACTAGGTAGATGCCCATCTTAATCATAAAGTAAGCAAAAATTAATAAAGCATCCACAAAATGTTGAATTGTTTTAATAATGTTCTTCAAAAAATATGGTTGTAAAATGAACTCCAAGATAACAATGAGGGAATGTGTTCTCTTTCCAGGTCCACAAGGGGGCGTAGTTTTAAGGGCAAGAACTTCCCAGAGCCAAGACGGACTCCTATCTTTCTCCATCCAGGAGATTTAACTGTCTTTGTTTAAATTTCCGCGGGCCAGGAAAGGGTCAAAAGTCAATTACTTCAGCAGATGTTCTAAGGAACTTCTTTCATTGGCCAAGGGACTTGGAGAGGAGGGGAATTCCTCCCAGGTTAAAAGTCCCTGGCTCTCTCCTCCAGGTGGATTTTCCCCCCTCTGGGGTCCCCTTCCACCCTCGTGGAAGCTGCTTTTCATCTCCTAAACTCCATCTCTCTCTGAATTCCCTACCACTCAGTGTAGAAGCTGTCTTTCCTCTCCTGGATTCCATCTTTCTGGATTCTCTCACTCAGTGTGAGAGGGGATTTCCTTCTCTGGTTTTCTCCCTCTGGGAACCCTTCTCACTCAGTGTGAGAGTGGCTTTTCTTTCTCTCACTCAGTGTGAAAGCTAGCTGTTTCTTTCTCTCTCCTCCTTTTTCTCTCTCTGCCTAAATAAGTCACTTTCTGCAAACACTTTTTGAGTCCGGAATTTACTTTACGAGCGCACTGCACTGTGGTCTCCTCCACGTGATAGATCAAGAACCTGGAGAAACATCCTCTCAGGGGAGCAACAGAATGAGACTTCACCTCAAAAAAATTTATAGATAATTTTATAAATGTGCAAAGGTTAACTCCACAGAATTAGTAGACATTAAATCCTCTTTAGCCACAAATATAGCTCCACCTTCTAGATTATAAAACAAATGCCCCTTGGGTGGATTCTAGCACATGAGGTGAAATTTTCAACTTACCTCTTAATCTTTGTTTTGTTTGAGATGGAGTCTGGCTCTGTCACCCAGGCTGGAGTCCAGTGGCACAATCTTGGCACACTGCAACATCCACCTCATTTCAAGCTATTCTTCTGCTTCAGCCTCCCAAGTAGCTGGGACTACAGGCATGCACCACCATGCCGGGATAATTTTTGTATTTTTGTAGAGAAAGGGTTTTGCCATGCAGCCAGGCTGGTCTCAAACTCCTGACCTCAGGTGATCCACCTGTCTCAGTCTCCCAAAGTGCTGGGATTACAGGCATGAGCCACCACACCCAGCCTTAATCTTTGCTTTGGTATCTGATATAAGAAAGACTTCTCCCACAAAAAGTCACAAATTTTTCTCCTGCTTTTTAAAAAAACTGTTATCAAAAATAAACTATTTTTACTCAAACTTTGAAAATATAATCCTGGGAAGCCTAAGATTAATGTAAGAATGTAATGATGAAAACAGGTAGTAATAATATGTTCAATGACTGTTAATTAGGTAACACTCAACTTGGAAAGAAAAGCAGAAAAGTACTTTCACTAGAGTAATCAGAGGTTGCCATCATTTAGACAGCATATGGGTACTTTACAAACATAAAATTCGAGCGTTACAAAAATCCTTTGAATAACCTAATTTTACAAACTTAAGGTCCTCAATTAAAAACAACAACACAATTGCAAGTTGACAAATAGGACAAAATCCCTTGCAAAAAATAATCATTAAAAACGAGTGGTTACAGAACATGTTTTTGCACTGACTTTTGAAAATGAAATTTTGTGTTAAAATCATAAAATAAAAGGCATAAACCAGAAGCTATTATATTGTAATGGTAAATACTGGATTGAGGCTGCTATTTTAATGGTAGTTATTCTGCATGATATGCATAATATATTTATATGGTCCCATATTCATTTCTCTTCTCCATTTCTCCTATTTAGAATTTTTCTTTTTTTTTTTCTTTTTTTTTTTT